TATTATGAATTTAACACTATGGCTTCGTCGAGGGGCGAGGAGAACGACTTTGGCTAAGAATTGGTCCCAGCGGAATCCGTCAGAATGCCGAGGTAGTTTATTGCCTCACATTTGTTGAGTGATTCCTCCCTTTGCTTTACCACACGGACTTATGTTCCGTGATGAGAAGAATGACGGACGGTTCCAATGGCCGCAAAATCCTCCACAATAGGCTTCTTCGTCAATATTGGGAGCAATTAAATGTGCTTATTTTGGATTCGCCACAACTAAGATTTTCCTTGCTTGCATAACCATGTTAAAGTTAAATTGTGAAAATTTCGCTATCAACTGTAAACGCCTGAAGATTACGGTCTAGGATTTAGTAGCAACCTGTACGATGACTGTCTTAAGTCTATTTACCTTTCTGACCAGACTTGATGCAATCGTATGCTGGGCATTGGATCCACCGTCCTTCTGGTCGCGTTTTAACCTTGACGGGTGCTTACGCCGAGGTGCTAATGTGTCGCTGTCCGTCCTGCTGTTCTCGTTCTCTTTGTTGGAACAGTAACTAGAGGAATTTTTTAAGATGGGAACTAGCTTCTTGTTCAGGGGTAGATTGGAGGGGTTCAACGTCACTGTGTCAGTGCAGCTCTGTGGCTGTTTCACGTCGATGGGTTGTTTAGGTCTGTAGGCAGCCCGACGGAACGAAGAACGACGAGGACCAGAACTCAGAGAGGGGAGATTGTACTTGAGCGTGCGCGAGCCGTCACCATCAACCTGTAAAAAAGCAATGTTTATCATCAAAACGATATTACTGATGTTAAGCAGTAGCTGGTAATGTTACTTACTATTTCGCCTCCCGCTACGGAGATTTGCGAAGCGACAGCATCTGTGGCTGGCGTCGTCGGGGCAGAATGATAGTTTGGAACGTGGCGCACAAATACGTCGTGCGGCGTGGACGGCGAACCCTTTCGTCCCTCAGGACTTGTGTGGTGAGAAACCTTATTGGTGAAGTCAAAGTTGAAGTATCGTGTAGGTGGGTAGGCCACTGACTTTGCAGGAAAGCGGTTGTCCAGGAGCTTATACAGTTGGTTGAGCTATAGAATTAAACCAAAAAGACACTCCTGAGGTGGAACCTGTGAAAATTTGCCGTCTCTAAAACAGCTAATTGGGCGTGTAAAAAATCATCGGTCTAAATGCGTATCTCGCTAGGATTACGAGGATGGGTGCAGCGTGATTATTTTTAAGCAAAAAGGAAATTCGAATCGAGTTTAGGGAGCCTTTTGTCCATCTTATGATGCAGGCGTATAAAAAATCAACTGGAGACCCCAGCGAACTTGACTGTTAGAAGCCAGCTGTATAAGTCATTATGCAAGCTCTGCAGACAGTCCACTATATGGGAAGTATAACCATGCTTGGTGTCGACGCCCTGTCCACTGATTGAGTGGCCCGTTCAGGTGCGTTTATGATGAGAAGGTAAGCGAAGTTTGAAAATCAGAGACTCGGCTGTAAATGGGCTTTGGGCAAA